TCAAAATACAGAATTTGATTATTAAATAAAGCAAGAGAAATCAGGGAAATAACATATGCCTCAGCAGTGAGGACTGCTGACTAAGGCAAAAGGAATCATAGACTCCAGGAGAGTATCGAACGAACGACACGCCTGGCTCAGTCTAAAAAAAGGAGATACAGACCCCAGATGGTACCAAATGAAAGATACAACTAGTAAGGTCTAAAACAAAGAATACAGGCCACAGACAGTATCAAATGAAAGATACAGCTTGCAAGGTCTAAAAACAGTGTGACTCTGAGAATGGGTTTCCAGCATACAGTGTAAGTTGCTGGTGAAATACCGTTACCTTAAGGCCATGAATTATAAGGCAACTAGGGATACTCGTAACCATACTAATCGACACTAGATTACCTGACGCCCTACAAGCGTCTATAAAATATGACATTTGTCACCCCTTGGCTTGGTGGGCCATGGACTGTAGCTAGCAGTCAGGGTGCGGGGGTGTCAATCCCGTATAGATCTATACACACAATGTTCGCTCTCCCTATAGGAGACTCTGGTTACCAACTAGACGACAGAGAAGGCCGCGCCCCGAAGATGCATCCCAAAGAGTGGGTAGTGGGTTTCATATATAAGTGCTGAACTAGAGGTAGAGGCTCATAACTGAACTTACTAGAGTAAACCTATATGTCTATGCTCGTATACATAACATACAACTAATGAATCAAACGACCTTCGGACGGCCATCCGATCCCACCAGAACACATCTCAACGAAGAAAAGGAAATAGGGCGGTCAAGCCTTCCTAAGTCCTTCAATCATTATTTTTGTGCACCTATACAAGCACAGATATACATCTAACTACAACTAAGTGTGTAACAAGTGGAAACGTATCGTGATGTATAACTGAGTCGTGGTGTGTAAACGTACCGTGTGGAATAACCGAATTGTGATGTATAACATACAGTGTGGAATAACAGAATTGTGATGTATTACGTACAGTGCGGAATAACTGAATCATTAAGTGTGAACGAATAGTGTGGAATAACCAAATCGTAAAGTGTAAACAAATAGTGTGGGATAATCGAATCGTGAAGTATAAGCGTTACCAAATATAAGTGTATCACAAAGTGGAAACGTTATCAAGTAGGAGTTTAAACTAAGTAAAAGCGAAGCAGCGGCATCTAACAAACAAGAGTATACGACAAGAGAGAGAACTTTGATGAAAACCTTTTAAAAACCTTTATACTTAAGAAAATCACAACTTGGTATTCTTTGGTAAAATAAGTTTGAAAACCTTTAAAAATTCTTTGGAAACCTTTCATAACCAGTTTAAAATGAACTTTGATAAAACAACATAAGTAAGAGTTTTGAACAAGTGAAAACATTTCAGAAAACATTTACAGTATCCTACTCGGTAAAACCGTTTACAGTGTTTATTAAAACTACGTTTACTCAAAGGATACGAGAAAAACAAGTTTGAAATTACTTTCTTGAAATTTGCAATTCTTTTCGTGTTCGTTCATCGGATGTATTGTCTGCTTCGTCATATTCGTTATCTTATTCAAACTAGTCTTGGTCTTCTTCAATGCCTAAGATTTTTTCTACTCGTCTTTGTCTTATTGTTTGACATTTTCATAATCCTTAGTAACAGTATTAGTAGTAGGGGCCATGGAAAAGCTTCTAAACATATAATGTCTACCGGTGTTTGTAAAAAATAAATCTTGACATTTTCCTAAACAAATCAAGCGTCTCATCCACGATTTTACATATGGCTTAAGATATCGTATATAAAAATGCACCTTCTAAAATAGGTTTTAAGCCATGAATCATGAACTTTGTCGGTCATGAACAAAAAAAGTTGAAAGTACATATCGCTCTTTGTGGAGTATATATGTATACTCTTACCTTGGCTTCATACCGGTTTTTTAACCAAAATAATTGATTAATGTTCAAAGAACACTCATAGTTTTGTAATGCATTTTTCTTTATCCACGTACGAAATTTTATATAAATCAAATGTTCCTAAAAATTTGATGCAATATTTTGACAACATGGTCGGTTTGTGAGGATCCCTTGGAAGGTTGAGATTGCGAACCATCAAAATCAATTTGATTTGACGCCATGTTTAACGAGAGAAAAAAATGAAATATAGAAAAAATACATGGAAAATCGACAATTTGAGTTGATAATAATATGAAAGTCATATACATGAAATTTGATAGTTGAGATCACAAAAATGTAGTCAATAACATGTAATTTGCCACAAAAAACATATCTTTCAAACATTCTTCTTTTCTCTTTCTCAAGGGATCTAAATCAAATCGCCACATTCTTGAGCTCAAAAAAACTTTATAATCAAAAGTAAAATTACAACAACTTCAATCGCCCACCGTGGGGCTCGAACCCACGACCACAAGGTTAAGAGCCTTGCGCTCTACCAACTGAGCTAGACGGGCTTTTTGTTTAGTTTCACTTTTTCAGTTATAAAACAAAATATTATAAAGTCAGAGTGTGCATTACTTTTATAAAAAAATAAACGCCCACCGTGGGGCTCGAACCCACGACCACAAGGTTAAGAGCCTTGCGCTCTACCAACTGAGCTAGACGGGCTTTTGATCTCAAATTAACTTTTCTATTCAAACTAAAAAAATGCTGTTACGAAAGAAATTAACTTCTATAGAGGTGATCATTTTTCTTTATTAAAAATCAAACGCCCACCGTGGGGCTCGAACCCACGACCACAAGGTTAAGAGCCTTGGGCTCTACCAACTGAGCTAGACGGGCTATTTGTCTTGACCAAAAATTTTGATTTCATTTTCACTCAAAAGAAAAATTTTATCATCATGAAATCAAATCTGTAACGTGTTTGAGTATGAGATCTTTGAATATGTATTTTTTTTTTCCAAAATAATAATCGGTTACTACGATGTTCAAAGATTGAAAACCAATTAATGAAAAATACTACAATTCAGATATGAAAAACTCATGAACTTATGATCGTTTAAATTAGTAAAAAAATTAATCAACGTGAAATCAAATTTGTAACCAAGAACATGTTTGAGTCTGAGATCTATAAATATGTTTTTTTTTTCAAAATAATAATGGATTACTACGATGTTCAAAGATTGAAAACAAATAATGAAAAAGTACTACAATTCAGATATAAAAAACCCAAGAAACTTATGATCGGTTTAAATTAGTAAGGAAATTGAAGACTTATCTTCAGATCTGAAAGAACACGGCATCATCTTGAAGCTTGATTTTGCATGTGCATCGAGGAAATCGGTGGCCGATGGTGGTGGTATTCCTCAACGGAGATGGTGATCCCTCCTGCCGTCGTTTTTGCCTCGTTGTCATTTCCTGCATCCCCGTCATCGTCGCAATGGGTCGCGATGATTGCAATGTATGAGAGAGAGAGAGAGAGAGGTGGTTTGTAGGACGATTTTGCTCAACTGTTTTTATGGATACTAGACAGTTGATTTTATTTCTTCTTTTTTAGAATTTAATTTTATTTTGTTAAACATTATTTTTCTTTTCTAATTTACAAAATATACCGATTTTAACAATATTAAATAAGAAAATTATGAATATTACATGTATTTTAGACTAATCTGTTTTTTACAGTTTGAATAATCAACATTCATTAAAGATTTGGATAATCATAGTCCTCATGCTATATCTTTGTTTTTTTTATTATTATTGTTATTGTTTTGTTTATTATTATTATTGTTTTGTATTATTTTAAACATATAATATTTATAAATTTAAGAAATACTTAACAATAACATCAAATAAAATCATGTATAACATTTTTTTATAATCTTATAATACATAAAATTAAAATAAATACTAATAAATCGAAAACTAATAAATAATAAAGCTTTAAAGGTTAAATATAATTACTAATAAAAATAGAACATTACTAAATTACTAAATAAAGAGGTTAATTAAACATGAAACTAAAAAAAATATTTAATAGAATAAAAATGGTTGATATTATTAAAAAAAATATTATAATAATACAATGAATTTCAGTTTCTTTAAAATATTCTTTGGTGCCAAAAGGTAAATTTAGGAATGAAGTATTAAAACTATCTGTTTCTTTGTTGATTATGAAATAATCAATTACTAAAATTCAGAATCAAATACTAAAATGCTTCAAGTAAGTTTTACTTATTAAACATTATCTTTAAGATGCATCGTTTGAGTTGTTTTAAAATATGTTTTTAATTTTATCTCAAACTCCATGAGGTTTAATCTTGACAACCCTAAATGGATGATGTCGAACAAGTGTATTATAAGAGTAGTAAATCATGGTATCGAGCATGTGCTAAGATTGAGAAACTAACTAGTTAGCAAAGAGTTTCTCTAGATAAAGGTGCACATAAATTAGATTTTATCCAAATCGTTTGGAAAATATATGAATTTGATTAACTTTGTGAGCATTAAAATATAGTTTTTTTGGATCCAAATACGATCTTCATTGGTTTGAGATGTAAAATAGAGGATCCTTTGTAACCTTAAAGGGATCGGTTTTTAGAAAGTGGGTCGAATAATCAAATTTGGTCCATACGGTTTTTTTTGGTTTCGTCTATGTTGAAATGGTCATTCATCAATCATCATGCTATCTATTTCCACTCAGTTTAGCATGTTTAACTATAATAACAATGAAAAAATTGAAAGATTATCAAATTAATAGATATATATGTCCAAGAGTAACTAGTGTTATATCCGTCCGTTAGTCGGGTTGTCGGATTTAAAAAAAAAAAAAAAAAAATAGATCGATTTTATTTTTACCAAATGAATGTAGTTTCTAACATATTTACTAAAAATATTTAGATAAGTAACAAAATGTCTTTTTTACTCAAAAATACATACATTATCCATGAAGATCATCAAATGGGCATTTAAGTGCATCTTTTTTGTGCAAATTGCAAATAATAACAGCTTACTTTACCCAATCTTCCAATATAAGAGATAAACTTGTTATTACCTACATAAACTGATAAGTAGGTTGTCGTTATAGGTAAACAAATGATATTATTTTATAGTATAAGTAAAAGATTAGCAACAAATAAAACATTGACAATCAGGATGAATGTGCAAAACTCTACAACAACAAATAAAACATAAGAAATTCTACAAATACATTTGTAAATCATATCAAACCTTCTTACATATTAACATCTTCTATACTTCTATGACACAAACACATTTCAACATTATGAATAAAATACAGAAACATCAAATTTTTTATAAATATAAAAAATAAGGAAAACAGGAAAATCAACATTATATATAAGATAAATAAGTTATAACATTGTGGTGAAACTAAAACAACTACTAAATTTAAATGCAAAAGCCAAATAAAAATAAATAAATAAATGAAATAACTTCTACGTTTCTATCGATACTTCCATTTTAGAAATATTTCTTTTTATAAAAAACTTAATAAATGTAGACGTAGAAATGACATGGAAATGATATATTCCAAATTACAAAAAATGAATGGACAAATGTTATTACCATTTAAATTTATATCAATAATGTATGTATACACGTCATCATTAGATAGATAAAGAGGAAACATGTCATTTTTAAGTTTCCTTCCTTTTCCCATGTTTTCTTTTATATTTACCATTCTTTGAACCATTTAAACATAAATAATAGAGTAAATTTAAAATATTTCATTACTAGTATTAAATTATGTGTAGAGGTGAAAAAAATAAAAACTAAACCACTAATATATGCAAGGTTGATGGTGCTCAAAACAATGCATAAATCATAATCATTCCTTGGGAAAAACAATATATTAGCATAAAATTTTTGGATATTATTATGTTGGCCAATACATTAAAAGCCAAGTTCGTTGTTGTTTACCAAAGTATCAAACTTTAAATGTTATTTAATATCCACAAAACTCTAAAAGTCCATATGCATTCAAATACATGCCCCTTGTGGTACATTCCTATAAAAGATATGTAAGATATGAAAAGTATATAGAAACCTCATTCTTGCCATAAACAATAAATAATTTTTCAAAGTACAAACTTCTATACCTTGAAGCCACATTGCAATTAACCATGAAAGGGTGAACCAAGAGCCTCTCCATCATATTTGCACAGTAACCTATTAGTGAGAGTAACAATATACTTTAAGATATGATTGAATCTTCATTATACAAGATCAGGAGTCATGTCACAACAACATTAATTGTTAAGGTAGATATGTCAGGAAATGGATTATCAAATTATTACAACTATAAGTCTACAATCAATAAAATTACAAAACTCAAAATTCAAAACTTCTTAAGGGTCATTTGATAATCACCTGTGGGTAGGGGTGCAAATGAGTCAAGCTACTCGTGAGCTACTCGGGATCGGATCACTAAAAGCTCGACTCGAAACCGATTTTAAACGAGCCAGAGCCGAGCTCGAGCTTAATATTAAGCTCGTTTATTAAACGAGCTCGAGCTCGAGCCTATGTCACTAAGCTCGATTAGGCTCGTGAGCCTAAACGAGCCATTATATAATATAATTTCTTATTTTTTATATATATTAAAATATTTGTGGATTAGAAATTTAGGGTATTAGTAAACGAGCTTCTTAACGAGCTCGAGCCGAGCTTAAGCTTATTTAGGCAAGTCAGACAAAAAACGAGTCGAGCTCGAGCCCGAGTCGAGCTTGTATAATTATTTACGAGCTCGAGCCGAGCTCAGTACAAGAAGCTCGAATCGAGCCGAGCTCGAGATTGAGCCTCTTAGAACTTAAACGATCCCGAGCCGAGCCGAGCCTGACCAGGCTTAGGCTCGGCTCGACTCGTTTGCACCCCTACCTGTGGGTGAACAATGCCAAAAGTTATAATAGGTTTTTTTTGCTTAACCTATTGAGTCATTTTGCCTAGATTAAGTCAAAATTATTGTGCATACCATTAATTCAAACGAAACAACCCGTAAGTCTTGTCTCAATTAAGTCTATTAAGTAAAAAAGAAGCAAACACATCCTTTTGCAAAAATAAGATTAAAAGGTTGCTGCTATGAACTCACTTAGAAGATGAAATCAGGAAATAAAAATACATAACAAAAGTTTCACTAGATTGATTAAACACTCAAATTAACACCAAAATAAAAAAGATAACTTACCTAATGCTTGCTAGTGATTCGAGAGCCTAGCCTCTCCCAAAGGGTCTAAGACCAGAATTTAACAAAAGATAGATCATGATATCTGCACTCTAACTACCCACTTATAACCATTATTGCAACAAACTAAATATAATAATATACCCAAATTATCTCTCCCACTAAAAGATGATATTATTCATATCATTTCCCATATTACCCATATCCTAACCATTTGACTAATATCGAAGGTATAGTAGTTACAAATAAAGATTTCCTCCTCAATAATAATGTGATATATGGAATTACAAACAAAATTGGCAGGAAATCATAGAATATTCACTTTTTTGGAAAATCAAAAAGATAAAACAAGGATCGAATGGAATACGAAATGAATAAAAAGTACCCAGTCCAAGAACAATGAAAGCCTAGCTCTACTCATTTCATCAAATGATTCTTTTATTGAATCGAGTTGTTCCATAAGTCTACAAAAATCTAAATACATATTTTTTTGGGAATCACATCAAGAAATTTAATATTGTTATTTCATGTGTCCTATCTACGTTATATGATGTGGGTATCACTGAAAAACAAACAATTACCATAACTAAAACTCCAAATAAAAAACCTTCTGGCATTAGTTCATGATAGAATATTTTAAACCGCTCAACGAATGCTTCATTGCATTCACTTGGATCCTAAATGATTCTTTCAAGCGTTGCACCAGTAACTGATATTTCTACCTAAACTAATACGTCTAATATATTATCAAATAACGAAGCAAACCTGGTGTATAGTATCACTTATCAATCTTCCAGCATGTATGAGTAAAATTAGGGCTTATTTGTCCTCCTTAGTGAATCCCATCAACTGTGAACAAAAAAGAAAGAGCTATATTAAAAATAATTTATATTGTAGTTAAAATGAATGTAAAGTGAAAATATAATGTATTCAGTAAGTGGGATATAAGCATAATAATTAAGCTTTATTTTTGAAGACCCAAACTCAAACCTTCCACATTGCACTGGTACCTTGTTATAAGTATGTCAAAAAATTGACCATATTCCCCCTCTAAGCTGTATAAAACATACTTAGTATCTTCTTTACCAAGTGTCAATAAATATACAAACTTTGACGAAGAGTCTCAAAAGTGTTAAGATCCCTTTCACTCTTCATCCTTACTAAATGTTCCTCACCCTCACTTGTTTATCCCACCATCAGTTAAACCCCTGCCAAAAAAAGAAAACAAATAGATAATGAGTTTACATACTAAAATTAGTAACTTTTCATTCTTAATTCTTAAACCAAAAAAAAAAACATGGATTTCTTTTAGCCGATAAATCTTGAAATTTTGACTGTTAATCCAAAACCAAAAAGCAAGATTATGAAAAATCACTCTCCATGAAATTTTTCATGTTCTTTTGATGAAAGAAAAGAGGGATCGCAGTTGGAGGTTGACGTATTGGGATCTTCAAACCTGAGGTGGAACAGAAAACCGTGAAGTAACCATAAAAACCTGTAAATAGAAAGTTTAAAGGGTTGTGATTGAAAGTTAGGAGTGATTCAACCGCTAGGAGGTTAAAATCCTGATAGCGACTTCCTTGAAACTTACCTGTGATTAATGAAATCGAATCCTAAGAAAAGGAAAAGAACAAAGCGAACCTGGTGCTTGACGCAAAGAAGAAGGAGAGTGCGATTTTTGCTGATTGTGGTTTGTCGATTGCTCTTTAAATGGAAGAACATCGCTTTTTTTTGGTCCATGATCGATGAAGCAATAGAAGCAATTAATGAACCGATTAACAAAATTGCTTCAAAGATTACTCTTATATAGGCCTCAATAGGCTGATTTGTAGGACTAATGGGACAATTGTTGTAAGAACGTGGGAGCAATCGAAGAAAAAGTTACATAATTGCGATGGGGATAAAGAATAAGGAACGTACGAACGAAGACGACTGGAACTGCACAACAACCATAAATATTGAGTTTAAGCGGCTTAGATTACAACTTTCAAGAGTTTCAACGGCTTTGATATGGACGACGGTTTTCCATTCACCGTCGTTCGTAGTATTATAATAACATCTCAAAGTTCAGAAGTGTGATGTTGCATATGTTACTACAACCACTAATTTTGGATAAAAATAAAGGAAATGCTCGTGTTAAAGAAAAATGAGGTTCAAGCAACGACCAAAAATTAAGTACACGTGCCTCTAAGTTTGACAGGAAGCCACTTTGAAATTATCACAAGAATGACATATTTTTTAACGCCCGGTTCCTGTTATGTGTTTTGAATCAAAATTTATTCACCTTTGTATGGAAACCCAACGAGTTGGAGACCCCAAACTCGTCGAGTAGGAATGGAATTTGGATGCGGGATGTAAAATCTATTCGATGAGTTGAGAGTCTCAACTTGACGAGTAGGACTGCCAGAGTGAAACCCTAATTCTCAGGGTTTAGCTCCATATTTAAACACCTTAACCTCCAAAGGTTGGCCTCATTTACAGCCTCCAAGCCCCAAACCCTAAATCTCGAAACCCTAATGCCTTGTGTAAGCTTGTGAGTCATTTTTTAGAGAAAACTTGTTCATTTGAAGCTTATGGAAGAAGAAGAAGAAGCTTGAGGAATCAACAAGAAGAGAGTAGATCAAGAAATTTCACTCCATTTGCAGCATTTTCTGGTAAGCAAGTCTCAAACTTGCTTAATGACTACTTAGATCTCTTTATCTTCCTTTTTATTGAGTTTTTGGTCCAAGTAGCATGGTCCATGGGAAATGGACGTCCCAAGTGAGTATACTTCCAAATCTAGGACCTTAGAGGGCCTTTGTAACTGTAAAGCCCCGTTTACTTATTAGTTAAATAAATAAATTAATGAACGAGTGGTAGCCTGAAATAAATAATTATACATATAGAGTGTTGGGTTCGAGGAGTTAGTTGCCACATTTTTAGAAGTCGGGGGTTAAAAGCATGAGTTTGGGACTCATTTTATAATTATTTATAAAGTCAGGGACTCCGTAGTAATTAATTGAATTTAATTTAAATGGAAATAAGGTTAATGGGCTGAAATTGTCATTATGGAAATAATGCTTATGGGGCTCGGGAGTATATAACCGTTGCCTACCCTAACCCTAGAGACCATATGCAGCCGTCATCCCACCTTATGCCTCCTACCGTCCGCCACCAACTTCTTCACTTCCGGTATCGCACCTTCACCACCGTGGAGATTGGAGCCGCTGATCGACCGCCTTCTTCTCCTTCTCCTATTCTATCCGCTATGTTAGAGCCTCCGGCCGCCCTGTCGAGACTTATCGCCGCCCCTAACGCCGATCTTTCGCCATCATAGTGCTCGTGGCCTCTCGTGACGCTGGTTATATGGGTCGCATGACCGTTGAGCGTTGTTGTTTCTGTCACAGGCGATGAACCGCGAGTAGCTGCCACTCCGTCGATGCTGCGGCCACCGCAACCCGCCGCCATCTCATGTTGCTGCCGCCGCCACCCGCCTCAGGAGGGTGTTGGGTTTATTAGTCCAAGCCAAAGGATGTGTTTGTTGTGTATGGTGATGTTCTGAATCTCGAACAAGGGATTGATGTGCGTGTTGATCGTCTGGAAACCAAAAGGGACCACCGCCACCATCGCGAGGTGGTGGCTGCCATTGTGAAGCAGCCTTTGCCGCCACCAGGAGGGTGGCTGGATGTTTGCAAACAGAAGTTTGGGTGGGTGTGTTTCTGTTTTCTTTGGTATGTTTGTGTGTATAGTCCAGATCGGCCGGAAAAGCCGCTGCCACCATCTACCACCACCGGCCACCATAGGGTGGCTGTGTGTGTTTATGTTGTTTAGTGTAGGTGTTTATTTTGAGCTTCAACATTGTAAAGTGTAAATTACAGCTTGGAATAATAAAAGAACTTGAAAACCACCACCTTAGGGTGGTGGCTGCCGCCACCGACCGCTGTGTCGGGTGGCGGTGTGCTTTGATGGTGTTTGGACTCGTTTGGATGATTGGTCAAGGGACTAAAACCCTAACGGGCTTAATAGTATTTTAGTGGGCTTGATAGGCCCAATAAAGCCTTAATTGTCATAAAAGACCAACCAATTGATAAATGGGCTAATATTTGGATTGGAACACCATAATGCCAATAAAACCCTAATTTGTGGAAATTGCTTGGGACGCACACGAGAATTAATTATTAAATCTTAAACAATAATTAATAATCATTGGCAAAATAGCGTAGGGAATAATGGACTTAATGGATTAAGTCTTTAATGGGTTAAGAAAGAAACACTGAACCTTAATCATCATTTCATGTGAAAACTCTAATTTGGGATTATGCGCTTGGACTTATCGAGACCCACATTTGGGCCATTGGAATGGAATTGTGTGATTAAGCCCAATCACACCATATGACTTATATAAAAGAATGATGGACTTAATGGATTAAGTCCTTAGAGGAATAATTCCTTAATGGGTTAAGTAGGAAACTTAACCCTAATCGGCATTTTATGTGAAACCCTAACTTCACTTGGGTTTATTGTTGGGCCTTTCTATTGGGCCTTAATAATTGGATTATTAATGGGCCATCCAAGAATAATTATATGGGCTAAAATAATTTAATGGGCCTAGGGTAAGTCCTATGTAAGGGGTTCGGCCCAATTTGGAAAATTGGGCCATAGATGGACCATAGTTAGGCCTTAATGATTGTATTATGTTGGGCCATAAGACCACATATAGGCCTGGGCCCAATTTGGAAAATTAGGCCATATGCTGGGCTTTGATTCCTAGTTCGCATTGGGCCTATGGTTTGGGCCTTGGACTGGAATAAAGCAAATCTTAGGGTAATGTAGTAATTATCCAAGTATGTATTTATGGTTATGTGTTGGGACCCAATTATTAATTGGGTGTTATTTTGGTGTTGACAGTTCGGGAATCTGTCATCCAGCAGCTGGGGTTGAGTCTGCGAGACTTCAGCAAGTGTGGGATTTTGTCTTCGGGACTTCAGCAGTGTGAGGTGAGTTACCTTCTAGTAGTAGTGGGTCTAAGGCCACAATGCCGGCCCACTAGTAGGGAGTATATGATTAGATGATTATCTCTCTGATATTCATTTAGGTTGCTACTACATGTGTTATGTTTATGTGTTTGTATGATATGATGTTATTTGCTAGTGATAGTAGGGGAAATAGTCCCCAGGTTACCGGTCGATAGGGCCGAAGGGGCAGTCAAGCCCATCCATGTTAAATAGATTATGTGATACGTGTTATGTGGTAGTGGTAGGGGTGAAATATTCCCTAGTATCCGGTCGAGAGGACCGAAGGGGAGACCATCACCCAGATATACTAGTCAGTATCCGGTCGAGAGGACCGAAGGGGAGACCAGTGTCACACCCCCAAACCAGAACGGCGGAAACGTTCGGGGGCGGAGGACGTCATATTCAGTATCATAACAGCTCATAGAAAGGAAAGTACACACCACCATATATATTTAAAGTTCCCAAGATGTTTACATAATTGTATTCATTACATGTTCAAAAGGTAAATACAATAACATCTTTCAAAAGTAGTAATTAACGCCAGCACGTTAATCCCGAAAGTTGATTTCCAAACCTGCTTAGCGATTCCCTGAGAATACAAGTTATTTTCAAAGAGAAAGTGTCAACAATTAAGTTGGTGAGTTCATAAGTGGTTTAGAAAAATTGAATGCCATTCCAAACTGGGTGTATGTTTTCCAGAAAACTTAGTAATTCAAAATGTAAAGAGTTATGACTCGTTGTGTTGAAAATGAACGTATTAGATCCAGAAAATCCCATATTTTCCCTAATGGTTGTGATATGAATTGTTGTGTTTTTCAAGAAAATCCCTTATTTTCCTATCATGACTGGCAGTCTCTAGGACCGAAAGTTGCAAGAAAACGACGTTCTTAAAAGTTGTGTCATAGTTTTATATAATAAAGCTATACGAAGATCGCATTTGTTAGATGAATAATAGTTTTAATAGCTACTCGTTCATAAAGGCACAATACCATACCTATTGTATATCCGATGAGTTTTATAATCATACTAAACATAATATGTCTGTAACGACGTTCTTCAGGCGTCGCAGCGTTATGACAACTGTCACCCCAAAGGACGGACTGTAGCTAACAGTCAGGGCGCGGGATCATGACTTCCCGTATAGATCTATACACATTTGACACGTTCTCCGAACGGGAGACTCTGGTTATAGACAGGACTTGCAGCATTACTTTCTAATAAAGAGAAGTAACGTTTGAAGATATACACGTCTCATGGATTCTCAACTAAGTCCGCATTAAAATGATAGTTTTGTATGCAAAGTTTATCCTTTTTCACAATGTTTGACAAAGCATAAATCATAAGTTTTTTAGAATGTATAAAACGACTTAGCAATGAAAAGTACTTTGAAATCATTATATACTTTGTATAAGTCTAATGCACACAAAGTATGACAAGAGTTTTCCATAATAGTAATGAGTTCCAAGTGATTTATTCGGTAAAACAAGTGAAGTGAAACTTTATAAAATACACGATAATAACCGTATGTTTACTTGTATCCCCCCCCCCTAAAAGAGTATAAAAGCATTTAAAATGTATTTAAAGTGTGTTTGAAAGGGGTATGAACTCACTTGGTTGAAGTGGTTGATTTGAAGTAGCCGGAAGAAGAATCGAGCAGAACTTCGACAGGAAGAGTTGAAAACGGGGAAAAATCTCGGGATTCTCGGGAATCTTGGGAACACAAAACCTTCCTTCGGGAATTGAAGGTGAAAACCGGGGCTTTGGGAGGGCTTCGGGAGCTTAACCGCAGAGTTTCGGCACGAGAGATGGAAGAATGGAGCACCTAAACCCGGCACCCCAAGAGTTCTATTTATAGGGGCAATTCTGGTGTGCCACGTCGTGGCTAAGGTTGGCCACGTCGTGGGGGGCAAGACTTATCCTCTTCCGTTGATTGGACGCTCTCAGTCACTTGCCGGGTCGCGGCCAAGCTGTGCCACGTCGTGGGGGCCTGACAGCCTCGGGTTTTGGACCCCGAACTTGTAAAATCCATAACTTTCGCGTACGACCTCCGTTTTCAACGTGCTTTATATGCACGCGTAGCTAGAAACATGATCTACAACTCTCGTTTAGACTTCATTGGCTAATTTTGACTTTATTTTTAATTATTTATTTTTAACGGGCCGGGACACGAAAATTCCGTTAAAAATCCATAACTTCTTCATCCGATGTCCGTTTTCGTCAGACTTTTCGCCGTTGCGCTACTAATGTTGAGACCTTAGATTCTCATTTAGGTTGTTTTGGTCAAAAGTATCTAGAGCTCTATTTCGAGTTTTTAGCTGTCTACTGCTATACCCGAATCTTGGAAAAATCATAACTTTCTCATACGAAGTCAGATTTGGACGTTCTTTTTATGCACGCTCACGGTTTGAGGTTATCTATAACTTTCATTTAGATACTTAAGGCTAAAAACTATTGTATTGAAACTTCGCGTCTTTCGTTTAATCGGTGTTGCCGGTTTTGTCGGAAATCTTAGAATGGTCATAACTTCTTCGTTATAACTCGGTTTTTCGTGTTCTTAGTATTTCTATAAACCTTGACACGTTATCTAACATAATAGACATCCCTATAGAGACTTTTACACATTTCATTTTTTTGAAGTTAATTACATTATTTCAAAAGTAGCTACAATAGTTTACTTTTTAGGTCATTACATAGAGTTGAAATATCGGATTGTCACAACCAGCACCCAGATATGCTAGTCAGTATCCGGTCGAGAGGACTAAAGGGGAGACTAGCACCCAAATATGCTAGTCAGTATCCGGTCGAGAGGACCGAACGGGTAGGTCGGGCACCCAGATATGCCTGACAATATATGTATGTTATGTGATTATATGGTATGTGGTATGATGGGGAACTCACTAAGCTTCGTGCTTACGGTTTTCAGTTTTGGTTTCAGGTACTTCGTGTCTAAAGGAAAGGAGTTGGCTTGATCGCAGTGCATCACACTATGGTTATCCGCACATGGGATCTTTGGGATTACACTCTGATATTGTTTTATGATAACATGTTTAATTATTTCTACTTTGGTTTTGACATGACATGATATTACAAATGTTTTATTACACTATTGGTTTTATAATGACTTATTTAAAAATAATTTTTTTTAGCCTGTATTTTTGGGATGTTACAAGTTGGTATCAGAGCTTTGGTTTGAGGGATTCGGGCACACTCTCGGGTGTGTCTGAACTCAAACTAAGGACTTGGCATGAAAAGTTTCAAAAATAAAATCATTTTATAAAAAAAGTTTGAAAAGAGAAAAGAACTTTGAAAAGAACAAGGTGTGTGATGTGTGCAATCAGCCGAGCTCAAGTAAGTCTTCCCCAAGATATCCATACATGTTATGAGATGTTATGATATGATATGATTATGAGGATTGCATGCTAGATTAGGGCTAAGGATCTAGGAGGATGCCTT